GAGTGAGTCAAGCTCTTCTCCAAAGCCCCTGAGGGCAGGACAAGAAGCAATGGATGGAAACTAATCAAGGAGAGAAGCAACCTAGAACTAAGGAGAAACTTCCTGACAGTGAGAACAATTAACCAATGGAACAACCTGCCTCCAGAAGCTGTGAATGCTCCAACACTGGAAGTTTTTAAGAAGAGACTGTACAGCCATTTGTCTGAAATGGTGTAGGGTTTCCTGCCTGCCTGAGCAGGGGGTTGGACTCGATGACCTCCAAAGTCCCTTCCAACTTTATTATTATTATTATTATTATTATTATTATTATTATTATTATTATTATTATTATTATTATTATTATTATTATTATTATGTAACAAGTACACTATCTATGCAGCAACTTATTCCAGTGGTTTTTGCCTATCCATCCAGAACTAGAAAAGGCCTTTACTTGGTTCCCGTAGCTCAGCAGGAGGAATCTGTTGGGATCCTGCAACTGGGCCTCCTTTAACACTGCCCTTATGCTTTGAAACTGTTTCTCAGTTTTAGATAAACAGCTAGGCTGACACAGAGTTGTTGTTAAGAAACAATGGAGAATGGTGTGCTACGTCCATCTTTCAAAGCTCTTGGACAATCAAGCTATCAAGTGGTAGATTTTCCCGCAAGATTTGTGCGTAGAATAGCGACACCCCACTGCATTCAACATCTGTCGGGTTCCTTCATGAACTTAACCACTCTCTTATTTTTTTCCTTACCTAGAAAAAGTTTGGGTTTTGTTTTTGTTTTGAAGCTGTAGGTTGCCATCTCTAGTTAATAAGGGTGGTGGTCCATTTTAATTCCCAGCGGTTGTACCTACAGCCTAAGAGTAGAAGTGGACAGAACTAAAAGGGAAGAATATCCGGGATGGGCCACTCTACAAACTCTCCATTGTGTCGCAACATTACAAAGGCTGGTTCAGTTGGAAGTCCTGTTTAGAGTGGATGGAACAATACAAAGTAAACATAACACCCAGGTGTGCAAATTTGGATTGAAGGTGGAGTCTTTATTTCATGCTTCCTTGGATGACAAACAAAATCGATAATACAAAAAAAAAAGTGATTCCCCATAAAGAGCTAATACAGAGAAAAAAATAAAAACTGTTCAATTCTTAGTGACTCCATGGACACGTTGATGTATCTTTTATAGAAACAGAATACTTTTTTTTAACCAAGAAGTATTTTCCAGTTCAGATTATCTCCAGGGGTTTCTGGTGATATGTTATCCAATGTTGTTTCTTAGCTTTTTCAAGATCATGTATCTGTGGATGTGGGTGTACACGTGAGCATATTTACTCCTGGCAAAAGGTGACAGGGTTGGGAGCTGTTCACAAACACTAAAGAAAAGTGATTAGTTTATTGCAGGGCTTTTCAACCAGTGATACAGGTACCACCTGTGGTACATTGGCACCTGGCAGGTGGTACGCGACCATCCTAGAAAAGTGGTAGCGGGGGAGGGGAATGAGCTGAACCAATGGCAGCACCGCACAAGCCTGAGCGAGAGACGGCTGGAGCTGCAGGGCTGTCAGGGCTCAGCAGAAGCGCCAGGATCAGCGCTTCTTCGGGGCTGTCAGGGCTCAGTGGAAGCGCCAGGATCAGCACCAGGCCCCAGAAGAAGCACCAACCAGCTGGAATGTTGCAGCATCTCCAGGGTCTTGTGATTTACATTCAGATGCTTGGCAACTGATTCGTATTTATGATGGTCACAGTGTCCCAGGGTCATGTGAAGTGACCAAAACCTGCTGCAACCACCCAGCAGACGGGGAAAATAAAAACCAAATACCCCTCCAATCCACTCCCGCTGCCAATCCTCAACAGAAATGCTCACAACAATGAAAACCTCGGACAGGAGGAAGAGTGCTGCCGGGTGTGCAGGCGTCTTGCTCCACTGTGGCTTGGGGGGCACTTTTTTCAGTGCCATTGTAACTTCGAATAGTCACTAAGCGAACTGTTGTAAGTCGAGGACTACCTGTACTTCATCACTTTTTTCCCTTTTTTTTGGGTCATCAAGTTTTTGACACCTTGCTAGGCGACTGGTGGTACTCGGATGTTGCCATATCCTAAAAGTGGTACAATGGGTGAAAAGGTTGAAAAGCCCTGGTTTATTGCACTCACTAAAAGCTGTTAGAGAGGATGGGCTGCAATTAAATTCTCATATAACTTTGCGGGCTTGCAAAAAACTAAGATCAAGACAAAATTTACAGTAATTTCTGAAAATAGATGGCCTGGTCTCTCCTACCACTTCGAAGCAAATTCTTCTTATATTGGTTTCTCATTTTTACCAATATGTCAGATTTAGTTTATTACATTTGAGGATTTTTTGTGTGTGATTGTTTCCACTTTTTAAAATGAGCTTTAGGCCGTTCAGATCTGTTTTATTCTTTTGGAGTTTTGTTAGGTAAGAATGAGTGGATTGGGATGGCAAGATAGTAATAGTAATAGTAATAAAGTTGGAAGGGACCTTGGAGGTCATCTAGTCCAACCCCCTGCTCAGGCAGGAAACCTTATACTATTTTGGACAAATGGCTGTCCAGTCTCTTCTTAAAAACTTCCAGTGTTGGAGCATTCACGGCTTCTGGAGGCAGGCTGTTCCACTGGTTAATTGTTCTCACTGTCAGGAAGTTTCTCCTTAGTTCTAGGTTGCTTCTCTCTTTGGTTAGTTTCCGTCCTGCCTTCAGGCGCTTTGGAAAATAGCTTGACTCCCTCTTCTTTGGGGCAGCCCCTGAGATATTGGAACACTGCTATCATGTCCCCCGTCTTCCTTCTCTTCATTAAACTAGACATTCCCAAATCCAGCAACCGTTCTTTATATGATTTAACCTCCAGTCCCCTAATCATCTTTGTTGCTCTTCTCTGCACTCTTTCTAGAGTCTCAATATCTTTTTTACATCGTGGTGACCAAAACTGGGTGCAGTATTCCAAGTGTGGCCTTACTAAGGCCTTGTAAAGTGGTATTAATACTTCACGTGATCTTGATTCTATGTAATGTAATGACCTAATTTGTAATATTTGTTACTGCAAGTTAACATTTTTGAATAGGATGGCATTCATTAAGGGTAAGTTTTTGTTTGTAAAAATTAATATAGTTGGGCTTTAATAATAAAGATGAGTTTGATCTTGAAAGGTATATGCATTGTAAAAGTTATCTTTTAAATTTTGTCCTCTGATTTGTACAGTAATAATAATATAATATAATATAAACCCCTTGGCTATTTTGTACATTTAAAAAAACTATTCATGATTTTGACAATGAAATGGGCTGAGATATCAAAGTTGGCAGCAGCTGTGGTGTACCACCGTGTGCTTGTTGATTGTGTTACTCAGCTCTCCTTTGTAATGAAAATGACCTTGTTAATTTAGCCTCTCCATGTGATGTTTTCCAGATGGTTGAACATTAAGCCACGTTATTTTTTGTCAACATGATTGCGATCCAGGCACTTGGCACCCAGCTTGTGATTATGGTGTGAGAGTGAACCACAAAGCTGGCAGAGAAGCTGGCAGGAAGTCGCAAGCCGCCGTCACATGAGGTCCTCACTTAGCAATCTGCTTGATCCTCACTTAATAAGGGCAACTGCTAGAACAGCCATAGCTAAGTGACGCGGTCATGTGACATCACACTTAGTGTAATTCTGGTCCCAATTGCTGTCGTATATTAAGGACTGCTTGTCCCAGAGGTGCTTTTTCAAAAGGCAACTGGACTTTCTTAGTTTTTCCTTGAAGTCGTTTCGCTTTTCATTCAAGAAGCTTCTTCAGTTCTGACTGAATGATGGAGGATGGAAGGATTTCATCCTCCGTCCTTCCATCCTCCACCATTCATTCATTCATTCATTCATTCAATCAATCAATCAATCAATCAATCAATCAATCAATCAATCCTTCCATTGGGACAACCATGACCTGGATGACTGAGAATCTCCATAGACAATAAGGACTATTTGTAATGCTTTTCCCACATTGAGCAATGCTGAAGTCAAAGGCAAAATAAGTGCACTCTATCTTTGACCATTTCCTTTTCTAATCATGCACTGCTCAGAGTCTTAGTGGAATACAGCAGAAAAGAAAATATGATGGGACAGATTCTCCTCATCCTAGATGGCCAGATGTCAAGTATGAGTTTTCTGAAGGATTGCTAATACATCGTGGGTTCAAACTCGCTCAGAAGGGGTGCAAGCTGTTGATGCCATTTCAATGGCTGCAGAGCCAAAACATTGCAGCTTAGAATGTCAGCCTTGCTCTCAGCTCACTGAGACAGAATATAATTTATTTAACCTTAGCCACTGCAGTAGTTAACCATAGTTTCTAGTTAGGGTTTCTGGCTCCACCTTGCTCCATAGAAGTCGGTTTCTTTGTATCATCCTCTCATATTGAAACAGTTGACTACCCATCACAGGCCAGTATTCATGGTCAATAAGGAAGAAAAAAAAGTAATCGAAGGAAAACCTGGTCTATTCCAGGACCAACCCTAAGACAGACTCTTTGGGAGGCTTAAGATTCATCCTGGATCTGGTGTCATCCCAGCACTTAGAAGCTATTAGTAAAACTAGAGTTTTCTGTAAGCAAAACATATGACCAGGGAACAGATGGGAATAATGGATAAGTTGCAATTGATTCACTGTGGGCAAGACAAGAAGTAATGGGTTGGAACTAATCAACCAACTAGAAACAAGAAGAGTGAGAACAATTAGTCAATAGAACACCTTGCCTCCCAGGGTTGTGGGAGCATAATCGCTGAAGGTTTTTAAGAAATGATTGCATAACCATTTGTCCAGGAAGGAATAAGGACTCCTGCCTTGGGCAGGGGGTTAGACTAGAAGACCTCCAGAGTGCCCTTCAGCCCTATGATTCTATGAATATGTTCCATTCTCATCTGCATCAATGACCCGATATCCATTTATATGAAAATAGATCCCATTGATTTAGCAGTATTTACTTCTGAACACCGCTGCCAGACTGCTAATTTCCTTGAAAAAACGAATTGCCAGAAACATTTATTTTGAATTTATTTTTTTTTAAATATAGCAATGAAAATGGCAGATGGCAGGCATTGTCTTACAAGAGGCATTCCATTACACTGTCACGCATATAAGGGTGCCTCCTAGATGGGAATCACACCTCATCAGAAAAAAAATGTCAATATATATATATATATATATATTTGTTCTTCAGTATGATGATTGTAGCCTTACCTCCGTGGTTGGAATCTTAATTACTTAAGCCAATTAATCTAGTCCAATCTTAACTAAGCCTTTTCAAAGCGCTAGGTCAAAAGCCCGTTCAGCTCAACAATGTCTACATCGCGGGGGTTCCTTTACTCACGTGACATCCTTAACACCAAGATTCATTTCTATTCTTATTTAGGATATGCATTAATTAGATACATTAAATGGGCACCAGCAAATGCTGAAGCCAAAACGTCTTGGATTTATGCCTTCTTTGGTGGAATTCAATGGGCGATTTCCCCCCTCCCCATTTGAGCAGAAAGGACATTAACAAGTTGGGATCATTAGAAGGATCTGTCCAGTAGGAACCAAAGGACACTGGGCAGAAGGATAGCAAAAGTTAGGCAGCTGGAAATCTGGCTGGCACCATTCTTAGCTTCCTGAAGTTGGACATCTACAAGTTTATAAGATGCATCGTTAAAGGTAAAGGTGGTGTTTTTTGTAAAGATGTTGTTTTCAATAGCACATCCCCTGGCAACGAAGTCTTTTGCTTTAGCTGTACCTGTGAAAGGAAAGGATATAGGGGGGGTAGAATTAGTATGTTTTTCTTCCCAGGAGCGATGCTGAATTTGGCTCAACTGTGCCTCCCTTCCCTCCCCTGCCGTTTTCACTAGAGGTATGAGAATCTGCTTCCCCCCCCCCTTGGCAGGCAATTTCTGAGATCCTGACCTGTTTGAACTGGCACATATCTAAATCAATGAACTGATAGTAAAACCAAGGGCCACACATTTTATCTGCGCCATAGTAGCGCAGTGGTTAGAATGCAGTTGTTGTTGTTGTTAATTGCAAAGTTGTGTCTGATCCATTGCGACCCCATGGACAACGTTCCTCCAGGCCTTCCTCTCCTCTACCATCTTGGAGTCCCTTGAAGCTCACGCCTCCTACTTCAGTGACTCCATCTAGCCACCTCATTCTCTGTCATCCCCTTCTTCTCTTGCCCTCCATCTTTCCCAGCATCAGGCTCTTCTCCAGTGAGTCCTTCCTTCTCATTAGGTGGCCAAAGTACTTGAGTTTCAACTTCAGGATCTGGCCTTCTAAAGAGCAGTCGGGGTTGATCTCCTCCAGGACTGACTGGTTTGATGGCCTTGCAGTCCAGGGGACTCACAGGAGTCTTCTCCAG